AATTTCTTCCCATTGACACTCATTTACTCATAATTGAGGTTAACGATACTATTTTTAAAATTGACATTCTCGAAACAGATATAAACAGTTATAATGTATGTCTTCAAATTATTCTTTCTTTACCTCTTTATAAGATGATTACAAAATTGTGCTTAAATGATTTAACCAAAGAATGTTTCTGACTTATAAAGGTATTTTACTTGGTTTAGTAGTGAATATTTGTAACTGAATTTAAAAAAATCTGTATAGGGACTAACAGTTGGTGCAGTGGCTGTGCAGTTGGTCTCCCATATTGTCGACTGCGGTTTGAGTCCCAGACCCGGTGGCTTAAACTCACACTGGGCATGTGTGCATGCATGCCCAAGATCCTGAGAGGAGAATGGAGGAGAAGGAATTGCGGTGTGGCCATCCCCCCTCGCAGGGGGGTGGGTGATTTCTCACTTTCTGTCTGTCTCTGTCTTTGAGGCGAGCTGTTCTGTTCTTTGGCGGGAGCCCGGCCCGGATAAAAAAAAAAAAAAAAAAAAAAAAAAAAAAAAAAAAAAAAAAAAAAACCACTTTTTTATAGCTGTGCAATTTCTTTCAGTCATTGTGTGACTTAGTTATTATGTTATATATTGCCTAGTTTAGCTTAATTTAACTGGAAGAAAAATAGCACCAATAGCATATTAGTAATTTGATGATTGATACAGACTTTATCATTTTCAATTTTATTGTGAAATGAGGTTTTTCTAGAAGTTAATACCTTTTCTCTCTTTCAAAACACAGGATTTGAGAGTATTTTAGAAGGGCTTTATGGACCACGGCTACGAAGAGACCTCAGTTTATTTGAAGGTAATTTCAAAATTTTATTTCTCCATTTAAGAAATGAAAAATGGTTTTATATTTAGCATAAATTTGTGGGCTCTTCTAATTAAAAATAAGTGAATAAATAAAATAATTCAAATATTCTTTTTATTACGTAATACTACATTTTTAGAAATTACTGGTACACTGTACCAATATAAAAAGTGCCACTTGGGCCACCAGGAGGCCAAGGTGGCTGGATCCCATGGGGCTGACTCCAGGGTCTGTGTCCTAAAGCCAAGGAAGTGTGCACGCCTTCCCAGATAGCGAGAGGAGAGTAGCTTATGGCGGACCCTTCCCCGTGAGGGTGGTTTCTCACTTTCCCTCTCTGTCCTTGGCAAGCATACGTGCCCTATAGCAAAACTTAACAATAACCAAAAAAGCGAAGCTTGTTTTTGGCTCAGTTACATAATTTAAAATCTGTTATTTCCATATCGATCATTTGCATGCCCTAACTTACTCTCTTTTTTTGTTTTTGTTTTGTTTGTTTGTTTGTTTTCCTTAAGAGAGATTTTTGCTATAGGGTATGTGTACGTGCCAGAGAGACAGAGACAGAGAGACAAAAAATGAGAAATCGGCCCTCAGTGGGGATGGCAACACCATAGTCTCTTCACCTCCATTCTTCTCTTAAGATTTTGAGCACACACGTACACACGCCCAGTGTGAGTTTCAAGCCTCTGGATCTGGGACTTGATCCACAGTCAACTGTGTGGGAGTCAAGTGACGTAACCATTATGCCATCTGCTGGTCCTGCCGCAACTTACTCTTAAGTGGGACTTATATTAAGCAGATATCAATTAAGTCAATAAAAGCAAATCATTACATTATTTAGCTAATCACAATTTAAAGTTTTTAATTAATCAGAGTATTATTTATTAATTAAATTGAAGTAAGTATATGTTCCATTAAATAAATGTCTTTTTATTTGTTTTAGTTTTGCTATAAGGTGTATGGCTCACCAGAGAGAGAAAGAGATAGGAGTGAAAAATTACCTCCCTTGGGGGTGGCCACCCCACAGTCCCCCAGTTTCCTTTCAGGATTTTGGATATGCATGCACATATACCCAGCATGATTTTCAGGTCACCAAGTCCAAGACTCGAACTGCACAGCCAGCCATGTGGGATCCAGTGCTTTAACCTCCATACCACTTGCTGACCTAATAAATATCTTTTAAAAAGCAATTCCTGAGGTACCATCAGGTGATGTGGTGGTTAAGGTGTTGGACTCCACATGTTTGACCACAGTTTGAGTCCTGGACCTGGTGGCCTGAAAATCACTCCAGGTGTGTGTGCATGTGTGCCCAAAGTCCTGAGAGGAGAATGGAGGAGAAAGGATTATGACATGGTCATTCCCTCCAGAGGGGAGTGACTTCTCACTTTCCCACTCTCTGTCTCTGTCTCTCTTGAGCACACACGCCCTCTAGCAAAAAAATAAGCAGTTCACCAAAGGTTTTATTTTTGTTTGATTTTCAATTTGCATGGTCTTTTTTATATTTTTCTAGTGAAACTTGTGAAAAAAAAAAAGGAAGATTCTATGACTAAACTAATACTTTGAGTCCCTTTCTGGGTTTTCGTCAGCATTTTTCCTAATATTTGGAGAGCTAGAAATATTACAAAACAGTATTTAAATGAAGTTTTTATAG